GATACCTGTCGAAAAAACAACACTTTACGTACTATTAGTAATTTTTTCGCATTTTTACGGAGCTCTGCGGCATTTTGACTTTTCATCGGTCCGCGCGTGACTGTAAACCAAGAAGTGCTTGAATAAAGTTTAAGCACTTGTTGATTGGGACACATTTTGAGCGCTCGTGGTCTATCTAGGGTATTTAATATCGTTAATTCCATGTCTTTATCTAGGTCATAAAGTATGCGCACTTAATTTCATACAAATCGGTTTAATCGTGTAATAGTAACAAACATCCATACAAATTTTCGGGTTTAAAATTTTAGTACGATATGATTAAAAACTGTTGGTTGTATACTCATGATATCTGTTATTGTATACGATGAAATAAATAGTTTTTATTTATTTTTTCTATTTCCGTAGCTGACAAACTTATCGATAAACTTACGGGTACAGAAATGAGCTGCGTCAAGTCACTAGCAATACACGTGCCGGTGTGAGAGCGGAATAGCATATATGATGTAGCGCATGCGAGAAAGGGATAGTGTTAAAAGACATCAACGCGTTCACCAAAAAATAAATACAATTAAAAGCAATTTCATATAAGAGTATTTTTGTCTTTTTGTAATGCATTTAAACTTACCGGTGAAAAGTAATACCATCTTTTTGAAGACTGGAAGTTTTACTCCACTTTCCACATAATTTAATTGCACAGTACGGCATTTTTTCTAGTTTTTTAACTCAAAAACGAGAGAAGCACTTCTGCTAACGCTCGGCTTCGGAATGAAACGATGTATAGCGACGTCTGTGGGCGTGTCTCACGCATACGTAATATACTACTTAAGCTTGGCGTAAGCGCTTGCCCTTGTATGCGGACTCTAGTGGGGGTGCTCCATGAATGCCTCTAATGCCTTACCTACATATACGAGTACCGGTAGCAAACCACCCTCGCGGGGTACATATTACCAAAACTCTAATGACCGCCCCTCGCGGGGGTATATTATGTATAATTTGCTTCCACCGCATGGAACTCTTTATGAATAAGGACATGCTTTCCATGGCTGGCCTACATATACAAGTATCGGTAACAAATCGTTGATGGAAGAATATCCTCATCAATCTTATAATCGCCCTTGTGGGGTCATATCACACATTAGTTATTTATTATACAAGAGTGGAAAGTTCCTTTTTAACCGCGTGCTCGATTTGGATGACCGAGCAAGCGAAGGAAACAAACGAGCACAAGGTGAAAAATCTTTCCACTCGAGTGCAATACGTAACTTTTCATCCCACCTCAGCGAGGAAATGACAAAATGAAAAAGAAAACAATTTATAATGACAAAATATTTAAGCAATAAAACGTGAAAAACTAGAATGGCGCGAAGCACGCAAATAAAACAAAGAAACCAAGAAGGTTCCAAATTTAAATTTTTTCACAATTTAAAAAGTTCTAATCATAAATTTGGCACCATAGAGGTTACATTAAATAGGTTTAATGACGTTTTGAATTTACAATTATATTGAGTACTCATTATATGTGATGTTCTAAATTCAAATCTACTTTGCCGCTCAAGCGAATAAAATAGAATTTTCCAGCCAGATTTCGAAGCGCAAAATTACACTTTCCGAGGTGGTGGGATGAAAAATATATTATTTCCATTACGTGAAGCTCAATATATATCCTCCTTAGGACATGTTCGCTTATGGAGTTCGTACTATTATGTTAGCACCGGTAACATACGACACTCGAGTGGAGCAAATTATGCATAATTTAACATATTGTCTATTCGTTATTCATAATTTATTTTTGTGACCATGGGGTCTGTAAAAGTGCAAACGATTCGAAACATTAAAAATAAGTAATTTGAAAATATAATAAATGTCGCTTGACATAATTCATTACTTCCAGCGTGTGGAAATCTATACATCAACGCAACGCAACATAGCCGCTCATGGCTTGCGTACACATAAGTATCGGTTATAAACTACCCTCTTAATAGACTAGAAAGATCGAAGATCGAATGTTGATGTACCCCGTTGAGAAGTGCAATGTACACTGGTTTTTAAGGTGTCGCATACTCCGAGGTCCGGTGGGGCAAATCATTGTATGATAAAAACGAGCATCGGTGCCTAAGTCTTGGTTGTTAACACATATTTATTCAAAATCATACTAATCTATGCATCATCATTATGCATTTCTATGCGTTAGCCCATAACAGAAGCCTTTCAATGCCTATTAAGAGGCTAGGCTAATTGGTCTGAAGTGTAGACTCGATCACTACGGTTGTTCTACCGTAATATAGTTATCAAGGACGTGCTGTAATAATTTCAAAAGGAAAAGGAATGTCGAAACAATTAATGTTTGAAATATAGTGCAGGAGAATTGGTAAATTGGGAGCACCAAAAATAATTCTTAAATAAATTTGGTGGTATAGCATGCCATTCAAAAGTTTGTTTATCTAAATTCAATATATATCCAACTCCAATCTCAAGTGCAGTACACTATAAAAATGTAAAGAATTCAAAGTTTTCTGCAATTTAAGGACTACCTGCCAGATAGATAGATGATAACATATTTTCCCTTGAAAATAACAAAAGCAAACCAAATGCAAAAGCAAACATGCAATATTGGAAATGTCGTGTATGAGGTGTCTGAGATGGTCAACATGATCATTTTGATATATAAGTGGTGCTATGTACTGAAGAAAGATTGCACGATCTACCAAATTCTTGAAAGGTTTTGAAGATCATTGTATGCAATTATCCACTTTATGTTATTTTTAGTAAAAAATACTGAAAACTGTTCTTAATATTAAACTTACGCTTTCTCACCTTGCCACGACTGTCTGGAATAAATATACTTTAAACCCTACGCATACTACATGCACACCTCAAGTAAGCTGTGTAAATCTTATAAATAACTTAATCTTTATTAAGTATTAACTAATACATATAAATGACCTTGATCTAAGAAATGAAAAAACAAAAGGAAAAATTATAATCAATTATAGATGGCAGGATGGCAAATGAATTTCATAAAATCTGGTCTAAACTTCGTAATAGCATAATTTATCACGGCAACCCTGCAACAATATAAAAACTATACCTGAGAATTTCGTTGTAAAAGAGTAAACTTCAGAAGTTGATCGTTTTCAACATTTTTGTCATTGCGTGGGGTTGTATCAACCACTCCCTACGTCTAACAATAATTATGTATGTCACTACAATCGACCTTGCAATCACTTCCCGCCAATCTAATATGAAAGCTTGGGAAGTATAATTGAAGAACACGGCTCTACCACTTCACTTCAATCTCCACTCCAATCATATAGATATGCTAGCACTACGCTTTTCATCATATTCTACAAAGAGCGACAGCTCTGTCTGTCTGTATCAGATGGCTCGAAAACGCTGGCTTGCGTGGTTGCATTGGTCTAGGAACAAGAATGTTTATCGGAATAATCCCGCAGGTTGTGGACTCGGATCTGAGCTAACACGATTTTTGAGACTTATTTTTATCTCAAAATAAGTACTACTATTTTAAATAAGTCAGTAGTTTTTACATGATATACCAATGGATGATAAGTCTAATTACCTAAGCTTACCTGTCTTGGCAAACACATATTGAAGTCGATTGTTTTTAAAGAATCGGTCCGTAACCCACTATTCTGGAGAATCTATAAGTTAACTTATTTCCTTTTCTTCAATAATGTACTCTTTACATCATAATGATCTGTTTCAAATACCTCGTCATACTAGTTGTTGTTCTGAACATCATACAGTAATTATGCTGCGTATTATTTGGTTCAGCATGTGGTACACATGACTTGTTCCTACTTCAAATTAACCCGAATCATTGTATTGGTACCGACGAAGATTAGTTTTAGCCTTGTTTTGGTTCAAAACAGGTGAAAGTAGTTAGAGACAATCCGATTGGTGACATGTACCGAATACTGGTAATCGTAAATGGGACCCTGATTTTTGGTACTTAAGAAAAAAGTACAGTCTTGTAAAATGTAAGACTCAGTATCGAACAACTTTACTTCCTTTTCTCGCATTCCTACGCCTTTTTGTGATAAACAAAGATACAAATGAATGCTACACAAGGAAGCGTCCGGTCATTAAGAAAGCAAATATATATATAATTAAGTAAGCAAGTTTAAGTAAAGGAATATAGCAATCAGCTAATACATATGTTAAAGCAGCTTCGTAAGCGTGAAGAAATTAAAGGCGGGATTCAAATAATGTTATTTGATCCATTTTTAAGCTAACTCGTTTCTATTAACAGTTTCATATAATCTGATAAATGTTAATATTTAAATTTATCATAATTTGTCACATTGGCGTATATATCTATGTAGGTGGCGATCACCAGGCGATAATAAACAGGTCTCAATATAAAGCTTTCAGTGACGGTCAAGTAGTTTAATAGCAGCATTTTACCTGAAATAAAATGCATATTAAAATACTTACCTCACTGAAAGCTTTCACTTTAAATTCTGCCTGGTGAAATAATTGAGCCAATGAGTTAATATGGCGCTGTCAAAACTTAGGAAAACAAAAATGGCCGCGCTTCTGCCAGGTGTCGCCACTGGACCGGATATAAGGTGAATAAAAGTACGGAAACTGATGGTAATTCGACGGGAAACGGAAGTGCTAACTCAATATAAAGCTTTCAGTGAGGTAAGTATTTTAATATGCATTTTATTTCAGGTAAAATGCTGCTATTAAATTAATGTCGATTATCTTTTATGTAATATTTTTTTTAAGGTTCTGTTTTATCGAAATCGATTAAGAAGTCAATTCCAAATAGGGTGTGCGTTATTTCTGTAACACGTTGTATATAGTGTGTTAGCCTTAGAATGTCTCCAGCGCGGTGTAGGCTTTCCATACTATTGAGCGCCGCTAGTAACGCCATCTCTCTCAAGGCGAGTGCTGTCATCCCCCCCATTAGTTATATGTGGGGCGTATAGATCGCGTCGTCACCACCCTTGAGTAATTATGAATGTTTTGTTCAGCGATGCGGGGTTGTATCGCGGGTGGGGTGGAACTAAAAGATCGCAGCTGGCGACTGCTAGCTCTCCGCACGCTGCTCAACAACGCACTCACGCCGCTCGCGAGGGCCACGCTCGACTATCTGTTGCATCACTTCGCCAGGTATATAGTTATATTTCATAGTGTTTACATCATTTAGGAAATTTCAGCAAGTATTTTCGTTGCCCATAATACAAAGTCTGAAATCTAAGGTTTTCTAGTCAGTATGTTTTGCCCGTGATGTCCTACGTAGTGGCGAGACGTGGTCGCTAACGGTACGTCTAGTTTAATTAAGGTCACTCAGGGAGCTATGGAAAGAGCTATGGTGAGGATTTCTCTGAGGGTTCGGATCCGGAACGAAGTAATTCGCCAGAGAGCTAAAGTTACTGACATAGCTTAACGGGAAGGCAAGCTGAAATGGCAGAGGGCTGTCATTTCGGCTGTATGTACTGTCATATATGCCGTAGACCGGATGGCCGTCGAGGCAGACGAGTCCTGGGCCCGTATTAATAGATCGCTCTCGACTGTGATCTTGAAATACTGATTTCATACAAAACAGCATCTCAAGATCGTACTCAAGATCCCTCTCAGAGTTGAGATCGATCTACTAATACGGGCTTTGGAGTGGAGACCGTGAATCAACAAACGTAATGTGGGGCGTCCCGCGACTAGATGAAGCGACGATATCCGAAAAGCAGCAAGTAATGAATGGATGAGGAGACCTGAAGACTCAGTTCATTAGCGTGCCGTGGAAGAGGCCTATGTCTAGCAGTGGACTGATGCGTGCTGATGATGACGATGATGATGACATATAAGAACTAAAAGATGCGCTGCGGGCGACTCTTGGCTCGACTATCTGCTGCATCACTTCACCATGTATATAGTTACGTATATTCAACACTATAACACATAACAATAAGCAGTCAAATGCACTAACTGCTAGCACTCGCAAACTATACGAATTCGATATTGGTTCGTCTAGGGAAATGAAATCGTTCACACAGCGTGTTGAACTGTTATATCTCAGTCAACTCTTTATATAATGAGGCCTTAACATGAATTTGTTTTTAAATAAGATTTAGTTACTCTTGTGTACTTGGCCTTAAGCCTTCTCATGTTACAAACAAGTCTCTTATCCTAGGGTCGCGGACAACTCGAAACTCAACTCGATGGACAGCAAGAACCTCGCGATATGCTGGTGGCCTACCCTGCTCCCCGTACAGTTCTCCGACATGGGCCGGTTCGAGATGACCCGGCCCTATCTGGAGGACATCGTGCAGACCATGATCGACCAGCACCCCTTCCTTTTTAGGGGGAAAGAGGCCTTCGTTATGGTGTGAGGGCAGGAAGTAAGTCACTGACACATATCCATTAGTAGGCAAACTCTGTAGGAAGACCAAAGGGTAAGATCTTCCTTCGAGCTGGGTAATGATAGATCTGGGGCCGCGGAACGAGCGATGTTGGTCGGGCTTTGTATATATCTACCCTACCTGGAGGACATCGTGCAGACCATGATCGACCAGCACCCTTTCCTTTTTAGGGGGAAAGAGGCCTTCGTCATGGTGTGAGGGCAGAAAGTAAGTCACTCGCACATATCCATTAGAATGCAACCTCTGTAGGAAGACCAAAGGGTAAGATCTTCCTTCGAGCTGGGTAATGATAGATCGGGGGCCGCGGAACGAGTGATGTTGGTCAGGCATGGTATATATCTGTTAGCCTTAGATTTTCTCTAGCGCGATGTAGAACATCAGCAAGAACCTCGCGATATGCTAGCGGTAGACCCTGCTCCCCGTACAGTTCTTCCGACTTCCGACTTCCGACATGGGTCGGTTCCAGATGACCCGGCCCTACTTTGAGGACATCGTCAGATTTACCCATTATTGGGGATTACTTCCACGAGCGAGAGAATCGTGGCCCTATTCTCCGTACAATAAGTATGGCTAACGTTTTATTCTTCGTCTATCAGGTAGTTTATTAAAAAGGTTTGGACGTATATTTTTCAAAAAAACGGATGTATCAAGTCGACGCGTATATTTTTTCTATATCAATCAATACATCTTATGTAAATCAGAACATTAGAGAAATGTGTTGATTTGAAATGACGCATGACGTAACGTCTCGGTACAATTTTTACTTATGTTTGCTATTGGATGTTTTGCCTGGTTATAGTCCACCTTGAGGGGGAGGGAGTAGCGTACAATGAAACTGCGTATATTTGAACTATTATTTATTGGCGCCAAGCGAATGCGATTTGTCGCTGCGTACACCACACTGTCATACTTTACAGAGATAAACATAGAAGTGTTAGTGTTATAACAAAATAGTAATGTGACCCCACACTTAGAAATGACGTCACGAGTCCCCACTCCCGAACTTTGGGGCGGTTTATCTTTGTAATTATATGGTTGATTGACAAAAGAAAAAATAAATGTCCATTAATTTTTGATAATATAACTGACGGGCTAAATGGAATTTCATTTACTTTACCCCGTCGTCAACGAGAACGAGATGATTGACGTTCTACGCGCTGGAGAGGTTAGTACACCGGCTTTCAAAGTGTCGCCTCAGTCGACTCAGTGGTCCTGTGTTCGAATCCTGGTGGAGCAAAATTTCAACTATGTAACCGCATCGCCCAAGCAGATAGTCGGCTCCGAAAATGCGTTTATTTTCTTATGCATACGTTTACAGTGAGTGTGGGACTCATGGTTCAATTATACTTGATCGTTAGCCCATATTCGGGTGACATTACTTGAATTCAGGCACCCGTAGCATGAGCACCTCAATTTACGTTATATCAAGTTTTTTATCTTTTCTATCGCGTTTAGCTGTCAAATTCCATAGTAATTTGACACTTCGATTGTGATAAAAACGAGTAATAAGAGTTGTGTTTAAGACTTTGGCGCGGGAACACTACCTTAATCTATTGCATAGTGCTTAATCTCAATCAGAATATTGTATTCCGACAAAGTATATGTGTTTTATACAGGATGGCCGGGGAGTTGACGTTCAAAAGTAAAATTTAGATACTTTATGATGAGGAGTATCCAAATCACCCCCATGTATGTTCTACGATTTTGCGTACTTTTCGAGTTATAATTTTTTTAATGATTTTTTTCGTAATTTTCACCTAACATCGGTTTTCGATTTTTTTCTCATTCTGTTGGACGTTTCTGGTTCAGTTTTTTTGTAATAACTGACTAACATAGTCTAACCTATCATCCTAAAACTTATGGTTTATCTAAGCATTGCAGAATTCACTTAGATTTTGTTCGAAAGTTCAAAATTACGATTTGAGCTACGAACAGTACACACAAATTTTCAAAGTATCAAAAAAAAATGTAAATGAGGGGATTTTGAGTTCAAAGTGCTTTTAGAAACTTCCTGGGGCATTAAACTTTCAAACAAGGCCAAATAAAGAAAGGGTTAATGGGGGTTTATTTTCTGTAACTGACCTTCAAAGTAAATTAAGGCATTTTTAAAGGAATTATTTTATTTTATTTAAATCTTTGACTTCTATGATGGACTTGAGTAAAACACAGTTAATTGTGAACAAAATACATTTATTTAAAGCAAATTTTCAAAATTTTGCCCTCTCACACAAATACACAATCTACATCTGCGCCAAAAATTATATTTTAGGTGCCTAAAAGCTTCACAGTTATTTTTCACAGTGGTTTCAGCTTCGCGAATTTTTGCTCTCAGTTCTTCTTCACTCGAAGCTTCTCTGGCGTACGCAATTTCTTTAAAGTAGCCTCAGATAAAAAAATCAATAGGGTTGAGGTCAGGCGAGCGTACTGGCCAGGCAATTGGCCCTTGTCGTCCGATCCACCTGTTGGGGTAGGTCTGGTTTAAATGGCGACGTACTTGTGTCACGTAATGACATGGCGCCCCGTCGTTCTGGAACACCATCGTTCTTCTTAATTCAAGATTTACATCTTCCAGTAATATGGGTAGATTGTCTTCTAAAAAACTTTTGTATGTGTCGCCGTCTAATCTCGATGGCAGTTCAAATGCGCCTATTAATTCGCAATTCAAAACACCAGACCACACGTCAACGCTAAAACGATGTTATAATGATGATGGTCTGGCGGCATGTGGATTTTCGACGGCCCAAATGTGAAAATTGTGGATATTGAAAACCCCAGTTCGCTCAAATCTTGACTCGTCGGTCCACAAGATTTTATTAAAGTATCCGGGATCTTCTTCCTCTTTCTGCAACATAGTTCTACAGAACTCGACTCTCAATTGATAATCTGAAGGCTGCAACGCTTGTACTTTTTGTATGTGGTAGGCGTGAAATGATTCCTCACGCAAAATATCCTGTATTGAAGATCTTGGTATGTCAAGGTTACGAGCTAATGCTCTCGTACTTGTACTACTATTGCGTTGCACTTCTTCCAGTACGATTTCCCTGCGTTCCTGATCAACCCTCTGAATGCCTTCACCGCCACGTTGGCCAGGAATGCGGCCTGCCATTAACGTATTGTGAGTATTAATGAACACACGATAGTCAGGGTAATGATCAGGTTGCGCTCCGCCTCGGCGTTGAAGTTGATCTCTGTAGAGTGTTGCTGCTTCACGACCGTTGCCTTGTGCAACGCCGTAGAAATAATGCATTTCTGCATATTCACTCAGAGTGTAGGGCATCACTAACACTTCCAAGTAACTACAGTCCAAATCGTTAGGCACAACGGAATCCAGTAACAAGCAGGGGTCAAACAAGTAAGCAGCGGCGGTATCAGTAGGCAAATAGTGGTCGAGAAAAAACGGCAGAACAAGACGAGTAAGTAAACACAATTAAGTAAGTAGTAGTAGAATTTAGGTCATGAACAACTGTGTTCTACTCAAATTCATCATAACTAACAGATAGGCAAAGATTTAAATAAAAGAAAATAATATTTTTTTTTCCTTGAAAAATGCCTTAATTTATAGATATTAACGGGATTATTACCATGTACCTTGTTTTTTATGAGTCTCCGATATTTCGGCACTGTTGCAAGCGCCATGATCACGGAGTAACTTGCAACAGTGCCGAAAAATCGGAGACTCATAAAAAACAAGGTACATGGTAACAATCCCGTTAATATCTATAATGTTAGTGACCATGAAAGTTTAAAACAATATGCCTTAATTTACTTTGAAGGTCAGTTACAGAAAATAAACCCGTATTAACCCTTTCTTTATTTGGCCTTGTTTGAAAGTTTAATCTCCCAGGAAGTTTCTAAAAGCACTTTGAACTCCAAATCCCCCTATTTACATTTTTTTTGAATCTTTGAAAATTTGTGTGTACTGAGCTCAAATCGTAATTTTGAACTTTCGAACAAATTCTAAGTGAATTCTGCAATGCCTAGATAAACCATAAGTTTTAGGATGATAGGTTAGACTATGTTAGTCAGTTATTACAAAAAAACTGAACCAGAAACGTCCAACAGAATGAGAAAAAAATCGAAAACCGATGTTAGGTGAAAATTACGAAAAAAATCATTAAAAAAATTATAACTCGAAAAGTACGCAAAATCGTAGAACATACATGGGGGTGATTTGGATACTCCTCATCATAAAGTATCTAAATTTTACTTTTGAACGTCAACTCCCCGGCCACCCTGTATGTATGTAAATATATATTTATTTATTTATATGTGTTTGTGTGTATATTTATGTAAGTATGGTCGTATGTATAGTTAAGTGTTAGTATATTTGCTTATTGTTTGATTTTAATATCTCTTCTTTGATTCTGCCGCTTTTTTAGCTCTGTATGTTCTTTCCGGTTGACTGGTAGAGAATGCCATATTGGCATTAAGTCCGCCATTTGCAATGTAAAGGCAAAATAGATTAAATAAATAAAAATAAAATAATATATCGCGTTGCTCATGCTGCAGGCAGTGTAAATACTGCTTCGGGTGCCCGAGTTAAATTTATGTCTTTCGTGCACCCTAATACGGACTAACGACCAAGTGTTATTGAGTCATTACACTTAGTCGTTTACCCGAATGACCAAATGTAATCGCACTATCAGTTTCAAGCAGAATTCAAGTAGCGGCAGCAACGATATTAAATACCCTAGATACACCACGTGCGCTCAGAATGTGTCCCTATCAAGAAGTGCTTGAACACGACTCAATCACTTCTTGGTTCACAGTCACACGCGGACCGTTTAAAAGTCAACATGCCGCTGAGCTCCGTGAAAAAATGCGAAATGAATACTTATAGTATGTAAAAGTCGTTTTTTCGACATATATCTTATCAATGTTTGTTAATTTAACGCATTTGAAGCACATTTTGTTTTAATGCTTACTATAAACTGGTTTAATAGAAAATATTTGTGATATTCAAATGCATGGTCTAATATGGTTTAATATCGTTGAGCGGCAGCTGTTATTCTGGTTACTTTTAAAAGTGAAACTTTTATTACATCGCTGCGATTCTTTTCGCTCATTTTTAACATGTCGCATGTGCTGGTACGTTCTGATTCTGCAATGGACTCTGTGACTTTACATGGAATCCGGGAAAAGATTGGTTCATCCTTCTAGTATAGGCTGTGGCGACTGCTTATTATCATGCAGTTGAACGCTCAATTGATACCTATTAAATTCACATTTAGGTTCAAATTAAATCGCATCCGATAAAGTGATATTCATTGTAAGTAGTCCTCATTAATTTATTGTTCGTTTCATTACCACAGGAACCCACAATGCGGGTTGCATTTGTGATGGACGACGTCTGACGTCAACGAAACGATGACGTCACGCAAAATGGCGTTTAGAGCGGGACCGTTCCGAGTGAGCTAGATACGCGTAATGTAGTGTTTAAGCCCCTATGTACATTGGTCGCGCAGTTGAATATCGTTTCTATTGCTTGGTAATAAGGATGTGCACGCGAATATAGAATGACGTCGCACTGGATCGCATTTCGATTGTTTATAGTGGCTAAGAACGAAGCGTTAACGGTTTTTATTATAATAATAATTATAATTAATAACGAAACACTGTAAGCTGAAATTGTTGTACGATGTAAAGATTGCGTCTGTCAAATTTAAAATTTTCGTTGAAACGACTCGTTCTCATATCATAAACGCTTAGTGTAACGGCGAACGTTGAATATGCTTGCAATTTTCTATTACTTTTACGCGAAAGGCCGTTTGATTAATATAATAAGGAAGAAAAAAAACAGTATTTAATAAATATGTATTACGATTACAAAAAAACCTAGATGTTATTTGCATCGTGGATAGGTGTAAGCGGTACGTGCACAAGAAATATTTAACGGATATCGATATAAATGGTTTATAATTACTAAGTATTATCGAATAATGTGTAATTGTTTTTTGTATGATGGTGGATAGTGAGAACGTCGTCTAAGCACATTCCGTTCAATCGAGATGTAATTGTGGTTTAAATTGTTAAATTATTATTAAATAACACAAAATAGTGATAATATATACTGTGTGTATAATTTTGTATGGTACGTAAGCGAATATAAGGGAGGCTTGTCATTTTAATTAAAAAAAAATGTGTAAAAAATATCTACCCACTTTATTTCGTAAAGGAAGATGATTAGTTTTTATTTACTTTTTATAAATACATTTAGTATGTATAGCCGTTAAGGTCAAGATTCTTTGATGTAGTTATGCAAATAGAAACCTACATTTATAAACAGACTGAATAAATTAATAACATGTTATAATTACTTAACATTTCAGTGATATACCGTCTCATATTGCGCATAAATGCTATTATGAAATATCTACCGACATTCCCGCCATCCATCGGTACTTTTATTATAAAATATATACGTTTATACCGGTGGTTCCATTTTGCATAACTATGACCAAATGTTTTTGTTTGCGGGTACGCTACCTCCCATTGTTTTATAAAATCTCATTAAACACCAACCTTATTGTGAATTATTATGATATAATTCTATAACTTATTATAATACATATTAATAATTATTATATTACTCTGTAAGTATTTTTACATCACAAAATATTATCACATTCTATTATCAAAATATTATAACAAAGTATTTATTTAATTTAGTTGGTGATATATTTTAATTTATGCGAATATTATAACTAAATTTTCCTTTTTTTTATAGGAACAGATTTTATTTAATATTTTATTTTAATTAACGATTGTGCACATAATAAAATTGCTAATGTTATTTTTTTTATATATAAAAATAAACTGTTTCCATCCGTGTTTTATGAGGGCAGCTTGTTTAATTTGAGACTGATTTAAATTACATACGTAGTGCATCTACCCTCGTTTCTCATACATATGTTTTTGCGATGCGATTTTGCAGATTGATATTATAGAGTTTTTCAATAAAGTGCAATTCAATACGTACTCACTGCTAGATTAACGAAGGCAACTGAATATTATTTTATTTTTCATTAAATTACTTTCTTGAGAAAAGTAGCAGTCGTTTTCATATCATACACTTGAGCGCAATTAAATCGACTTAGATCGAGTTTTTTAAAGCTTTATAAGCACAGGAACAATTGGTGTCAACTAATTCTTTGTAGGAAATAACTTAAACGAATCGATGTAGATGCTCTCAAGTGTATTTTCCAATGGAATTAATGTTATTAGGAAAGGAAGGTATCTTTCTCGTGGCCTATTTTGTATTAAGCTGTGGTAATGACCGTAGTGTACAATTTTAATTTTAACATGAATTTCCCTGTACTAACAAATTTTCGTATCATATAGATCTCTCAAAATAAAAAAGAATTGCCTTAATGTGATGTTAATGATTGATTGAATACCTTTTTAGTTAAAAACAGAAATACTTTGAGTAAACATTTGGCATTAAACAAAAGATTATATTTCATGCTTTAATATTCTTCTCATATTTTCTTTTAGTCTAAAATTCCATTTTTTTTTGTTAATTCATCGAGTACAAAATTCCTATTTTTCAATCTAGGTACGCACGTACGCTACGAATCCTTAGTAATTAGCTTGTTATTTTGATAATTAAGCTGATATGTGTTTGTTCTCCACAAACGAGACGCAAAAGTCATTTAATGATTTTCTAGTTTTAACATTCTCACTGGGTCATGCCTACATTATTATGATAAGTATATCTTGCGTTAGTATGGGGAAATGATAAATGTCTAATATTTTCAAAAATGCCATTAGCAGTAAGTTTATATTTATTATAAATACAATGTTCTTACAATTTCTTTGTATGACGTCATTAATCTCATGCACTTAAGCATTCAATGAGCAGAAAAAAACATGGATTAACTAATCCAAGCTTAGTCCTCGTTTATTAATCAGGGGCTTAAAGTTTAAGTAAGAACAGTACCTACTTATTTTATCTTGGATACTCAAACGTCACTTTGAGATTTGTTTGATAGTATGGAAGTATTGTCAAAATTATTTTCCTTTAATATCCAAAGACCTTACATTTTTCCCACACCGGAAATGGTTAATTACTGTTTTTAATTAATTATCTAAATTTGAATGGTTTTTCAATGTATGTAATATTTTACGAAATCTGGTCAAATTCGTTTTAGAAGACAAATGAAAGATTTTGTCATCCCCAAGGGTAACATTTATTTATAATCCAGTAAAAGGTTATATTTTAATTTATGCAAAGTAAAATATAGCTTGGGCTAAATACTTAAAATGTAGTAGCGGCAAACTTTTGAGCAAATCCACAAACAAATAAACTTACGCAGTAGATGTTTTTGTATGTAAAATTGCTAGTGAGCAGGCTACCTTGTCTATGCTTGATACTTACTGCAATCTTTACTTGTTGCACACTTTCGCTTCCCAAAAGCCTGACATGAAAAACATCATTCATACATTTCCGGGACAATAATGTGAGTTTGAGTATCCTTTGCATCGGTAAATTCGGTTATTGCGCTGACTGACCGACCAATATACCGAATAAAATCAACCTTATGTCACTTCTTTAAGGAGTAACAACAACTACATGCATTTCTAGTATCAATTTATCCTTTTCTATCATATACAAGCTTTGATCTCTCATGCCGGCACTTAACTTGGCTATTTGTAAACTTTATAACAATCTGTCCTTATCATCCTTTATTAGGAGAGAAAAGGACAAAGTGATGTCAAGTTTACAAATAGTAAATACGAATAGACAAGCAATGTGCCGGCATCAGACGTAATGGATTTCGTTGACCGATTGGCTCCCCTTTCGTACGATCAATGCTTGAATGTGACAGAAAATTATAGAGTGATTGAGAAATGATTAAAAAATCATTTAGATGCGGTTATTTCGTAACATTGCTTTATTGGCCGAGTTCCGTACAGACAAATCTTGTTGAGATCTCAGTCTTGAGAAATAATCGTAAATACAGAAGTGAGAGTTTTCTGCAACTCCTGTATAGTTTTGTGTACACGAGTTCAATACGAGAAAATATTGTTGCTGCAATTGACAAAAACGTAGCAAATTCACATAGTGCAATCTAAATGAAATTATGTATGAATGTATTGCGTGGCTTCTTATTATAATAAGTAAATGTAATGCAATTTAATGGATTTGTGTTAGTTTAATCCAAAAAATGAAATCGATGTATCTATAAGTATATTTAATATATATTAGATGTCTCCATTAAGCTTAGTTTAAGGTGTATTTTAACTAAGTTTTTAAATGATATAGCAATGTCATTATATCACTGTCCTTTTCGTTGATGCACACCTCTCTGTGTTATTGTAAACAAACAGGGGGTGCGTGTGCGCAAGAGATAAGTGACAGAAAAAAAAATCATGTCCATTAGGGGAATGATGTAAGGGGATTTTTTATATTTTACTATGAATCGAAAAAGACATAGAACACACTCGCGACGTGTTTGATATTTTTTATTTTTCTAGAAATTTTCGCTTTTCTTGGATCTCATGCGCTGGAGGAGAAGCATGCATTATTGGATTTATAAAAGGTACTTCCCCTAATGATTTTGAAAATGCAATTTATATTATAAATATTCGATGTAAATATTGTACATTCGTTAATTTGATTTTTTTGCATAATTTATTTATTGAGTTTTTTTTATGATTAAAGAAAATAGTTTTTGAAGCCATAATATGTTTGTTACGATACTTTTGTGTTCCTTTTGTTTTTTTAATTACTATTATTTTCCTTAGCACATATTTGTTTGTTTTTTCTAATTGTGTGCCATTTATGTTGAACACTGGTGATTCGGTGATTCCTAAAAATGTGTTGGAAATGTGGAAACGTTCCGTTTTTTATGGCTGAATTTTTTTCCAGTAGATTCGCGAATGTTCTAAAGTAGAATCAATGTACGCTTGGCTAACCGGCAGCTCACAGTCCGCGCTGAGCGACATTCTGTTCTAAATTCGCTAGGTGAAAGTTGACAGTTGCTTGTGTAGGGTAAGGAATGGGAAGGCTCTTATTGAAGCTTTATATATTTGGCCTTGGTTAGACATGAGATTAGGTAGGCAACGGGTAGCGAGGCACAGACAAAATATGTATGATAGGAAACATTTTAGAATGTAATATTAAGTGTTAAATATAAATTGACGTTCGGAAAGTGTGCTTTTACAGTATTTTGTTAGTACTCCGTAATTCCTTGATAGCTTTTCGCTAACACCTTTATTAATAAACGCAGATGACCTTGGATTAGTTACTCCATGTTTTGTATCTGTTCATTGAATGACACATGCCATTTGAGTGAAATGAACAAAACATGGCGTAACTAGTCTAAGCTTATTCCTTGTTTGTTAATAAGGGGGTAATTGTCTATGAAAATTGTATTTATTAACTATAGTAAATGATTAAGTTACTCTGAAGAGATTGTTAAACGAAGAGAAAATTTAAAGAAAATGGTGTTCCTATGTCTATTCGATGTGATCATGTCTGTCATAAAAAGCTAATTCTTGTCAAATTTGACACTAAAATCTTCCTAACTCGTTCACTCTACGTATGTTTAATCGAAGGGGTTGTATTGAGGGTGTAATAGCGAATGGAATGGTAATATGTGAGCGAGAAAGCTATTCAAGTATTCTTGTTTGACGCTTAAAGAAGTTTTTCGATTCGATGTGATCATGTCTGTCATAAAAAGCTAATTCTTGTCAAACTTGACACTAAAATCTTCCTAACTCGTTCACTCTACGTATGTTTAATCGAAAGAGTTGTATTTATGGTGTATTAGCGAATGGAATATGTGAGCGAGAAAGCTATTCAGGTCTTCTTGTCTTCTATATGTGAGCGAGAAAGCTATTCAGGTCTTCTTGTTTGACGCTTAAAGAAGTTTTTCGATTCGATGTGATCATGTCTGTCATAAAAAGCTAATTCTTGTCAAATTTGACACTAAAATCTTCCTAACTAGTTCACTCTTATTTATGTTTAATCGAAAGGGTTGTATTTAGGGTGTTTTAGCGAATGGAATGGTAATATGTGAGCGAGAAAGCTATTCAGGTCTTCTTGTTTTACGCTTAAAGAAGTTTTTCGTGTAATATTTGTATATTTGGTGTGATCAATGTTGTGATATTACCGCGAAGGCGCGGACTGTGAGGGCCGGTCGGTGAATCAATTTTGCTATATGCGTCTCAATTACTGTAAAACCCAGTTCAAAGGAATGTGTCATATTTTATAATAAATAACCATCTATGTAATTGTGTGGTTTTATTTGATGACGACCTCCGTGGCCGAGTGGTATGTACGCGGAGTTTCAAGGCGTTGCTTACTCGAATCCCGGTGGGGGCTGATGTTTGTGTGATGAATACGAGCATTTGTACTCTAGTCATGGATGTTTAATATGTTATTCTATCTAAATATTACACTAATATTATAAAGGCGAATGTTTGTGTGTTACTTCTTCACGTCTAAACGGCTGGAGCGATTTTAATAAAATTTGGTATGGAGTTAGCTGACACCCTAGATTAACACATAGGCTGCGTTTTACTGTGGTAAAATATCCCTAATAAACTGCGGGTAACACCGCGGGGCACAGCTAGTACTTATATATGTATCAGTATGTGTATTTTATCCGTTGCCCAAGTATCCCATAACACAAGCCTACAGTGCTTACTTTGGGGCTAGGCTAATTGGTGTGTTTGAAATTTTTATTTATTAAAGTCTGTCATTGTATTAGGGGAGCCCAAAAGGGGTTTCACAGGAACTCACGGAGCCACAGCCCCACCTGTATAAACCCGGCCCAAGGTATAAATGCTATCATGAAAACATTCTTTCAGCGGCTATGATGTTTTAAAGTTATAGATACGTCGTACACGATTCTAATTTGGCAACACGAAAGTCAGGTAAAATTGCCCGACTTGCATTCAGTCCGGCACGCCCTCTCGTCGCGGCTACACTTCGCTAAAACGTCTAAAAATATTACGTTTTCTAGACAAAAACCCTTTGCCTCTTATTAATAAACGATGTCTAAGCTTGGTTTAGTTACTCTATGCTTTGTCTCTGTTCATTGAATGGGAAATGGCACTTGACTGGTATGAACAAAACATGGCGTAACTAAGCTAATATTAT